AATGACCACAACTACTACTACTGCTTGCAGTGAAACCCAAACCACTTCTGGTGCCATACAATCGGCCGACAGAAGTGGACGACACGAGTGCTGTGTTGTAAAGCTCTGGCGAAGAGTCAGAGGCAGAGCCCAAGACAGGGATCCGAACGCCACCAACGGTTCCACTCATGACACGGATGTCTTGGATAACACCGGAACCACAGCTCCGGCCATAACATCGGCTGTTGAGAGGAGGGGTTCAGTGGCGACAAGAGTTGGCCAACACTTTAACACCGCTTTCAAAGCCATCAAAAGGATTCCTAAAAGGATTCGCACCAAAAGAGACAACAGAGCGCTCGGCAAACGGCTCAAGTCGTTAGGCTTCGGACCCAACGATTCCATACCAGAGATCAGCTTTGGATCTGTTATTACGATCCGAACCAAAGCTTTGTATGACTTGTCGGCCGAAGAAGAGGACAACGAGTCTGAGTGGACACCAATTGAGGAGTCGATAACAACAGACACGACCGACGAGTCGACCGACGATTTGGTCACAAACCAAGTGATCCAATGTCTGGAGCAAAACATATCCACTTTGAAGAGCACTCTTCGAGACAACTCTTCGGTTTTGTCGCACGGGTTGTGCCAACAATCAGTCCAGACATATGTCTCCACAGAAGTTGATGGCAACGAACAGACCATTCAGTTGTCTCGCAAGAGATCCACACTTGGATTGTCTGACGACTCAAACGGCAATCGATTGGAACCCATTTTACAGAACCAAACATACAGTCCATTAGTTAACAATTGTTTAGCCGTCGCCTCGTTTGCGGGACAACTGACACCAGAAGTCGCCAAAGACTTGACAACATTGGCTGCAAATTGGCTTTCGATTTACTATAACATCGACCACTTGTTGGACGCACTGAAGACAACTCTTCACTTCAAAAGTGAGTACAACTCTATTATCAGAAAGTCTTTGCCTCTACTCTTTGCTAATGGCGTCCAATTGGGGTCCCATTTGGGAAGCGGTGGAAATGGACTCGTAGTGAGCGCTGAACACAATGGCAGACCAGTGGCCGTCAAATTCTCTCTGAATCCCATCCCATTTGTGAACCAAGAGCTCAACTCAATGATGGCATTGAAACACAGGAATGTCTTGTCCGCCCATCCCATCCAACACTTCCAGAACGGTTCCCATCCGGTGATAGTGATGGAAGCGGCCAAATGCAGTCTTCAGCCCTTCGCACAGATCCCATGTGTCCGCCGACTCACCACTGATTCCGTTCTCACATTTTTCCGAGACATTCTTCGAGGCGTGCAATACATACACAGCGAAGGGTTCGCACACTTGGATCTCAAGCCCGGAAACGTTCTGCTCGTCAGATGTGAGACAAGCGGAGGAATTGTGGCCAAAATCAGTGATTTCGAAACCATGACGAGAGCCGTTGACGTACGGACGGGACGACCCATAACTATGGCCGCCGTTTACGCGACTCTAAGCTATCGTTCGCCCGAAGCCGTGAAAGACCTGATTGTTAATGACATCCGTTGTTGTGATGTTTGGGCCACAGGTTTGATATGCAAACGCCTGTTCGCTAACAGCGATGTTAACGCCGTTGACGTGAAGCGAGTGTTGGATCAGCTTTTGAAACTCAATCACCGCCTGCGCCCGCCTTTGATCAAAATACTGATCGACCCCTTACTGACGGCTAAGTACTCCAGACCACAGACACTACAGTTTGTCAGTCCTTAAGATGTTTGCTCTTCTTTGGAGTGAATGGACACAAGGGTTGCGTTGAAGAAGTCTTTGCATACGATATGCGACTCATAGAAGTTGAGGAAAGACTTATCCGTATAAAAGAGAAAGCATTTGTTCTCGAATTGTGTCCATCCGTTCGGACAGTCCTTTTGAGTTTCACTAAATGTTACTTAAGATGCGATAAAAATGTTTAACAATTATTTTAAACAATTTTATTTAACTTACAAATGATTTGAATGGAAATCAACGCTAAATATAAAGAATTCATTATTTGCTAAAATGTTATTACAAAACAACCAAAAGTTAATAAACTGCTGAACAAATGGTTTGGGTTTTGAACGGCTTTCGATCGCCAATAAATTAATCGGTCCCGAGATTTGTATCAAAGCTATAAACATAATACTTATTCACACATATATATAACATTTTATTAATTTTTTATAGAAATAAGTCAAAACTAGTTTTGAAATTTGTATCATTTAATTGAAATAATATCAACACTAGTTTGTGTCGTTTAAATGATTCAATTTGTTATATATATCGATATAAAGAATTAATGCGAATAATAATAATAATGTAAATTTTGTGATACAAATAATAACGATATAAGCGATTGGTTTGACTGAAATGGTGGACACAAAACACGAACATTAGACGAGTTCTTCAATAGTGAATGTCTCGTGAATTTTGCGGTGATTTTCAAGCGCTTCGAGTTTATAAAAGCTGAGATGACATCCGGGATAACCACAGTCTGTGGGAGTGATCTTCCCGTGAGTTCTCACGTGTTTTCTCCATTCAATTTTGCTCTCAAATATGTGCCGACATTGAGGCCAATCGCATGAGTACTTGGACTGCGAGCGGTTTGCGTGCATCTCGTGCTCGTGTTGTGTCAGCTCTCGTTTCGACGTGAATCCCAGCCCACAGTCAGCCCATTCGCACTCCAAGTAGTGGCCAGAGTTGGCCGCAGCGGTCGACTCGTCGCCCGAGTAGTCGAAGGTATCGCCGCCGTTGTGTTCGCTCTTATGTTCGCGCAATTTGTACTTCAAATCAAAACTTTGGCCGCAATCGGGAAAATCACACAAAAATTGTTTGTGTCCTAAATGTGTGAACTTATGGCGAACCAAACGGTACTCCTTCTCGAATTCTTTGCCACACGTTTCGCACACAAACTCACCGACAGTTCTGTCGAGTGTCTCATTAATCTCGTCCTCGTATATAAACTCCTCGCTTTTGGTCACTTTGGAGGGCCGGCCCCGAGATCTGCCGCCTCTCGTCGTCTGTGGTGTGACTCGAATGGGAGATAACGACAGTTTCGACGCCCGACCCCTTCCTCTGCCAGACTTTGCAACAACTGATCCCCTTTTTCTCGTCGCCGAACTTTTGGCCATTTTTTGTGACTTATGTTTTGGTTCGTAATCATCATCTGATAAGTGATCCATAAAAACAGGACTTCGATTGGAGTCAACGCTCGCAGTGTCGCCCATATCTTCATCGCCGAGCATTTGGTCGCAATCGTTGTCTTCGTATTCGGCGAATAGATTTGATCGACAGTCGAGTTGTGTCTTCTTCAGCGGATTTTGTGACACTTCCCTTGAGTTGATAATCGACTGCAAAGACAACACTTTACTTTTGGTCACTTCTAATTGTTGGCGTTTAATACACAACTCGTTTTGAATTAAATTCAATAAATTGTCGAAATTAATGACACCATTGAGTCTGACATCGAATTCAGATAATGTCTGCCATTCGGGCGAAAAGTATGCGTTAATTCGGGGAAGACTTTGACGCAACTTATGGGCAATCAATAGGACTGAGAGTGACATTAAACCGATGTCTCGGTCCACGTCTTCGGCCGAGTACTCATCTGAAGCACTATTGTCCTCATTATTGTCACCATTTGTGCCGCACTTCATATCAAAGCCCTCCGTATGGCCATTGAGTGGATCACTATCATCGGTGGTGTGACTGTGAATCCGGTGGTCTCTTCGCCGACACAGACGAGTGACAAACTGGTGATTGTAATACTGGTTGAGCCACTGCTTAATCACTGCAACCGATTCGCTATGCGTTGAGTTCCTCTTCAGCGACACGTGATGTCCGCTGCAAAGTGTGGTCTCAATCAACGATATCACTGACACTAACCGCAAGAATATCACCGAATCGGCCGATAGTCCGCACAATAGCGGAGATTTGGCCACAATTTTGTTGATTAAACTCACGATCGAGTGGTTGTGCTCTTCGGATAACTGGATGTCTATTGAATCCATGGTATGTCTGGAGTGACAGTCAAACCAGTATTCACTCAAAAACAATACACAAATTGTTTACATAATAATCACAACAAGTGTTGAGAGCCATGCGCTCAGCGCTCACCCAATCGGAACACTCGACACATTAGTTGCGCTAAATATGATTACAATTATTGTAATACAGGACTTAATTATCTCTTAATTTAATTGTTTAGTCATTTAATAGCACTTTTGTTTATCAAATCAATTACCGGTAAAAATAAAATATCACTTTTGTTAACAGTTTAAGGGATTAATCGTATAATTATATAATTACAGTATATATTTGGAAAAAGAGCCGTTTCTTTGATTTCTATGAAATTACGAAATCAATTAGATTTTAAATATCAGTTTCAATACAAATACAAAAATATTATTAAATAATTGCCAAAGTATTAGACGTTTCGTTAAATCATCTAATTTTGTGACTATTTTATAAATTTGTGATAAAATTATATAAAATAATATTTAACTCTTTTATTGGTCTTTGAGTCCGTGTCTGTTATAATAACGAGATCTGAGTTTCAAGAGCTGTTTGAACGCGAAGTATGAGTTGTATTGTTGGCCGAGAGTAGAGCTGATGGTGTCGTATATGAAGCCCAACATCTTGTGAGCGAAATGACCGTAAGTGCGGCTCTCGATGCCAATCGTTTTGATGGCTTCGCCGACGTAGGCCTCGGCTGTCGGCACAGTAAACGACGGTCTCATGGATGACATGTTGGTCGACACAAATCCGGGCAAAACGCTCTGAACGATAATACCTTTGTCTTTATACTCGTAATGAAGACTTCGCGAGAAGTAATCGCAATACACTTTGGATGAGGAATAGATGGAAAGCAATGGGATTGGATTTGTGGCCGAAAGTGACGATATGTTAATAATGATTCCCCTCTTGCGGGCAACCATTTGTGGCAAAACCAATGAAACCATTTTTGTCATCGAAGTTATGTTACAATTGATGATCGAAGGGATGAATTCATTGAGTTTCTCGATTCGCGTGAAGTACTCGCATATCTTGGAACTCATGCCCACGTTATTCACCAACACATCCACCGCTTCCACACTATCTGTCGCTTCTTTGATTCGCCCGTAAATGTCTGGTTTCGTGAAGTCAACGGCCAGTGTCTTAATGGTCACGCATTTGGGATTATTCTTCAACAGTTCCGACCGAACTCTTTGCAATTTGTCTTCGCTTCGGCTAATAATCAGCAAACAGTAACCCAAACGCGCCAATCGGTTGGCGTATTCCAGACCAATACCATCGGTGGCTGACAAAGATAATGTGGTTTAACCCATGGCTTAAACACAGACACTCCGTAACAAACCTCCAGTAATGACAGCCCATGTCTTGGATGAGGGCTTCCACACGACTCCCAAACCCAAAGCATTTGCCAAATATATGGTATAAAAGCCTTTCAATAATTTATAGCAAATAAAAGACACGAATAAAAGACAAACACTTCTTCCGATTATCTCATAAACTGCTGAATCAATCATCGCTTATGTCTTAAGTACGGGTTTTAGCGATCATTTAATTGCAAACCAAAACCATATTTGACTCTTGGGTTACATCACATGTGATAAACAAACGCCTAATAAAAAGTGTGACAAACTATCAGACAATTGAATGGTGCGGACAGGGATGCGATGGTCGGCGAAGACAATGTCAGGTATGACAGGTGTGTAGACGTCAGACATGAGGTGATTGTTGGCAATTGAGTGACAGTACAGTACAGTCTGTGAAGCGAGCGATGCATTGGCTTTGCATTGCTTAGCATTGCGTGAACTCAACCCCTATTCTAGTCTACAATACAACTGAAGGCAACACTCATTGCGTAACCCATAATGTGTTGGCATTGAGTGCTCTCACAGTCTGTGAGCGATAGACAACACAAACACACTGTCAGTGCGTTCACTGTTTTCACTGCAAACACATTGTAAACACTTTAAGCCATCGAAAGCACGTGTTTTTGTTTATACAACAAATGTCTGCCACTAATGATGACAACGCCATCGCTGGCCAACCCATCGCCGGACAACTCTTCGGACTCTTTGGCTGCGCCGACGACTACCCGCCCGACGGATCTAATTGTGACCAACAAGTGGTCCAAACCGGCGATGAATTGGTGGCAAAAGAGGGATCAATGAATGAAGAGATTGAAGCGATTGATGCCAACTATTGCGTGATCTGCAAGAGCTCTGACACCAAGTATTGTTGCCCTAAATGTCAGTTAAAGAGCTGTTCAATGATTTGCTGCAAAACACATAAATTGAGATTCAATTGCAATGGAGTCAGAGATAAGACAACTTTTGTCAAAATAAGTGATTTCTCTCAACAAGACTTTTTGTCAGGTATTGGCAGTCATTGTCACCACAAATGACCCGCTTTTGGAACCAATTTATAGTTTATTTATGTCTTTAGATTATTTCTTCCTCGAAGACGTGGACCGAACGCTCGACAACTCTGGCCGTCAAAGACGCGCTATAATTAACTCGAAGAATATGTTACCGAAAGTAAGTGTTGTTTTTAATAGCGAATATCATATGACTTAATGTCTGCTTAATGTGTGGATCAGTGGCTCCAGAAGTTGGTCCGCGAGGCCAGAGTGAGAGGAATCGATTTGAAGATAATGCCCGGAGGTTTCAAACGTCGCAAACAAAACACTACATGTTTTATGTACGCAAACAATACCATCAATTGGGACATTGAGTTCAAGTTTATCCACGCCTTGGATAACAAAGAGATGAAGAATTTGGATCAACTGTTGGCCGACGACTTAGTTGTCTCGCATTCCGAGTTCTCATGTGTTGACCGTCGGGTCTCAGAAGAGACACCACTTTTGACATTACTGTCCAAATATATAGAAACAAATGATTTGATTGATTGTTACGAAAGAAATTGTAAACTAGTCTTATATCGGAAGACAGGAATCGATGGAATCTCTGTTTTGTTCCGTAAAGAAAATCTCGGATCAAAAGAACACAAATACTATGAATTAGATGTGAATAAAACAATTAAAGACAATTTGGTCCGAAAGAAAGTCATAGAGTTTCCCACAATTGTTGTCATTTTGAATCAATTCAAGCATTTATTTGATATAATTGATGAAAAACATTGAAATAAAATATAATTCATTGCAAACATAATCTGTGTTAACATTTCTTTGGTATTCATTGAAAGCGCGTTCTTATAGTCTTTTGAATAAGAAAATTATTTTTAAATTAATTTATAAATGAACTGAAATTCATGGCCTCGAGATGTCCTCCAATGAAATAAGTAGTCAATTATCACATTCGGGTGAATCGACTGAAGACGTGGTCAAAAATGAGGATTCAGTGAAAAAGTCTGCTTTTAATTGGGAAGTGTTTGACGAAAGAGCAAATGCTTTGAAGGATTTGCGACAAAAGCGAGAATTCGTCGACATTTCACTCGAGACCGAAGACGGCGGACAAGAGTTGGCGCACTTCGCCGTTGTCTCCGCTTTGGGTAAATATTTCACTGAATGTGTGGACAAAGAGTTGAACTCTCCGGACGTACAACAGGAGACTCTCGACAACGGGTTTGTCGTAAAGAAAGTTTTGCTCAAAACTGTGACCAAATCTGTGCTCAAAATACTAGTCGACTGTTCTTACAACGGATATATTGAGACAAACAGCGAAACTGTTTGGCCATTGATTAAGACGGCTGTGGAGTACGAATTGCTGGATGTGTTGGAGTGGAGCCTCACTTTTCTCATACGACAACTCGATGTCCAGAATTGTGTGGAACTCTTCCATTTGGGTCTTAAATACAAACACCAGCTCTCAAACGCTTCCTATGCTTTCATTAAGACTAACTTCACTGAAGTTTGCATTTAATACTCAATTTAGAAATACTTTTATTTTAAATTTAATCCTTATTTACACGAATAGATTGTCAACATTTGTGTCAACTTTTGGACCTTAGATTTGGAAGAACTGAAGACTCTTTTAGACGACGACGAACTCAATATCCAAACAGAGAGAACAGCTTTCGATGCAATTATTCGTTGGATTCATTACGAGATCGACACCAGAAAAGCTCATCTCTCGACTCTCATATCGATACTACGGTTCGCGAGACTCGAGTTGTCTTTCATCGACAACGATATCATGAAGAATGCGCTCATTCTTGACGACAAAGAAGCCGTTCGTATTGTCAATACTTTTAAAGACAAATACAATTCGTTTACAAAAAGTAAGAATAAATTTACAATAAAATGAAAATAAATTTTGTATTTTTATTACCAGAAAAAGACGGAAATGGTTTATACGTTGGCTTAACTCCTGTAGCCATTAGACCGCGTATTCCTCATGAGATAATTCTGGCGTTCGGCGGATGGCAGGAAGGCGTGCCCTCCACTCTTATGGAGGCCTACGATCTCAGAACCAATCGATGGTTTGACACAAAGATATCTCACGACAGTCCCCGCGCTTATCACGGAATGCAGGTCTTTGTTGTTCACAAATAATTGAGTTTTAGTTCAATTGACAATTGTTTTAAACTTGTTATTCAGATAATCGATGGCATGGTTTATGTGATCGGCGGTACAAATGGCACAGAAATACTGAATACCGTTCAGTGTTTTAATCCAATTACCAGAAAATGGTTTGAAAGGTCGCCAATGGGTGATCAAAGATGTTATGTGAGCACAGTTTCCATCGATGGCATCATATATGCGATGGGAGGACACAATGGGAGGCAAAGAATCAAAACATGTGAAAAATACAACACCAAAGAAGACAAATGGACTGCTTTTGAAGACATGAATATGAGTCGAAGCGATGGCTCGGCTGCTGTCCATCAGAACAAGATATATATCGCCGGCGGACTAAACGATCAAATCATTGAGAATACGGTTGAATGCTATGACTTCAGAGACAACACTTGGAGTTTTATTCATCCAATGATTACTCCGCGAACTAGTCTTGGATTTGTCTCATTAAATCAGTCACTTTTCGCAATCGGAGGTAACAATGGATTTGAAAGGTTTGTTTTAGTTATAGAAAATCTAAAAATCAATGCATTCCTAAATGTATGCAAATATTTGTTTGTAGACTTCAAAGTGTGGAAAGATATGACTTTAAGCTCAGGACTTGGCTTCCGGTCGGGAACATGAACTCAAAGCGAAGCACTTTCGGAACCGTTGTTATTGGCAATCAGTTGTATGTCATCGGAGGCTATAATGGTATGTTGTGTTCATATGATTTGTTGAAACATAAATGATATAATTTTTGATTGCGTTTTGAGGCCAAACACCGATTTGTTCGGTGGAGAGGTTTGACTCAAACCAAATGGTTTGGAAGGAAATGAAAAGCTTGAAACACGATAGAAGCGGTTTAGCGGTGTGTGTGGCCACCGGTCTCTCCAATTCAGTCGACTATACATTCATCGGAAAGAATAAAAAATCCGCTAAAAAAGCGGACAAAAAGAGCGACACAAACGACTCAAAGGACAACACTTCAGATGAAATAGTTTTCAATTAACACTTGTATTAATTCCCTAATATGTGTTAATTCACTGCAATTTAGATCTTATTTCAAATCCAAAAATATTTTTGTGTAATAAATAAAATATGACTAAAAAGAAAGATATTTATGAGAATTTCATTAAACAGTATTTATTTTCTTATTATTATAATTGTGTTAATTCATCACAACTACAATAATTGATTGAATAGAGATTTACCGATGATTCAAACACAACATCCTTTAAACATCTCAAACATTTAAAGTTTTGAGTCCAATATCTAAAAAACCGATCAAACTTTCACTTGTTTGTATGTATTAGCAGTTATTAGTAATTATTGGTAAAAACTTTTTAATGAAACAATTTTTATTGGCTATAATCGCTACATAAAAATCTAAACACAAATTACTTCTCCATTGAGTTCAATGTCGTTAACGAATAACTCCACAAAAACTATACAAAATTAGTGTTTAATTAATTTTGCCGGAAATTTATGAAAAAGGAAGTGAGATATGAATGCAATTTATTGGCGATCGAAAGCCGTCCAAAACCCAAACCATTTGTTCAGCAGTTTATTAACTTTTGGTTGTTTTGTAATAACTTTTTAGCAAATAATGAATTCTTTATATTTAGTGTTGATTTCTATTCAAATCATTTGTAAGTTAAATAAAATTGTTTAAGATATCAAATAATTGTTAAACATTTTTATCGCATCTTAAGTAACATTTAGTGAAACTCAAAAGGAATGTCCGAACGGATGGACACAATTCGAGAACAAATGCTTTCTCTTTTATACGGATAAGTCTTTCCTCAACTTCTATGAGTCTCATATCGTATGCAAAGACTTCTTCAACGCAACCCTTGTGTCCATTCACTCCAAAGAAGAGCAAACATTTCTTACAAAATACGCTTTCTTTACAAATAAGGCCCAAAATCATGTCTGGATTGGCGCCCGGAGAACATTCAATGAGACATTTGTCTGGGAAGACAACAGTGCTTTCAATTACACAAATTGGGCCAAAACTCAACCAAACAATTTGGACGGAAAGCACTTTTGCACATCACTCCTACAGTCACCCAATTTATCTGATTTAGGCTTTTGGTACGACGACCCCTGCGCTGATAAATACCACTTCATATGCCAGATATATCTCGCGGATAATACATTGGATTCATTGAACAATAGCTCTGCTCTTGTCATCAATACTTCCGCAACGGTTGACAACTCGACGACCGAAAGAATACTAACTTTCGATGAATTGAAAGCTCTTCACAACAATAGCGCAAATATATCGACGATATCTGCTCTCATCTCTTCCTCGACGGTGAAAGAGAAACAGCACTTCAGTTACTATAACACTGTATTAACGGTGTTAGCAGTGGTTCAGCTCATCGTAATTGTAGGTCTGGTTTATATAGTCTATAGAAAGAATCCGCTCTCTTATCGAAGGATTGTAAAGATGTCTGAATGTGACACCAATTCTGTACAAAAGTTTTAGTTAACAATCAATTCAGTTAATTAAAAGTTTGTGATACAGTATAAAGTTTTTAAAATTTTTAATTAATTATTTTTCACTCAAGTTTTTACTATATTTACATTTGATTATAAGTTATAGTATGGGATAAAAGTGTCATAAAATTTATTTGTAATTAAAGTTTATTAAAATTTATCGTTATTATTTGTATCACAAAATTTACATTATTATTATTATTCGCATTAATTCTTTATATCGATATATATAACAAATTA